ATTTCTATCTTAGCTGAAAAAAAAAATAAATCCTCTAGGTTCAAGGAGAGACCCTTCCATAAAGGAGGAAGTGGAGTGTGGGAGAGAACACTTGATACCCTTCTCTGGCCCCCACACAAATGTATACACTTACATACATGTGCACATGTATGTACACACACATTCACACACAAATTTTAAAATCAAATGTAACAGAATGTTCCTATGGTAATGGCATATTTCATTTTATTACAGCAGGGATTATTGCATTACAATGATTGTTTGAGGACTTTATACTAAATGATCTGACTTATTTAGCTACTAAAAGGCATTGTTAAAAGGAGTCTTAATCTGTTTTCATTTATCAATATGTCATTCTTTCCAAGCTCAGCCAAGCTTTGGCTGATTCAAGTCCCTCTGGCTAGATAATCCTAAGAGCGAGAACGTTTATTTTCTTAGATGCAGTTGTTTTGTTTTATGGGGACCCAGAATTTGAGAGGGAGGGGTAAAATTGTGGTACCAAATATTAAATATTTTTTTTTTAAAAAAAACCTTTAAAAAGAAATTTTTGCAGGCAGAGGTGACTATAGGGACTCATAGCTAGTCAAACACAGAGGAGGAGGGACTGATGAATGCCCAGCCACAAACAGGACATCTACATCACCACCTCCAAGGCTCAAGGGACATTGTGGTAAAAAGAGGAAGGAGCCAGGTGGTGGTGGCACACACCTTAATCCCAGCACTCAGGAGGCAGAGGCAGGCTGATTTCTGAGTTCTGAGCCAGCCTGGTCTGCATGAGAAGGAACGTAAGAGCCCAAGGAAGGTTCTGGGGGAGGGGGCACTGTGAAATGTTGACTTCCAGGCTGGGTGGATGTGACTGCCATTTTCTTGAACTCAAGTAGCTATAACTACCTGCACAAGAGCTCTACATGTTTGCACCTGCCAACACCTATGATAGATGTGAAAAGGGATCCTGAGGTCCTACTACTTACTCCCTTAGGATTTATTTATAGGCCATGGTTGGAAGAGGGAGATGTTTTCTTCACTGGGGTGGCCATTCGTGCCCCGTGCTTCTGTAAGTAACCTAGTGAAACACAGCGGACTCCACACTCACAAACAGACATGAGAGTAGAATGTCAAGGTGGGTAAAGGAAAGGGATCTTCAGGAGTTTCAGGGGGAACAAGAGAGGTGAAGGGGACCCTGCAGATCTCCAGGCAGGGAAGCAAACCTCAAAGAGGTGAGAATAAAAACTCAGAATGACTTTATCAACCTGGATCAGGTTTGGGGAGTCTGATGCCAGGTGGTTTCACTGTCAGTATTTTTAAAGCCCAGTACAACTTGGGGAAAAGTTACCAGGCAACCATCATTCTCAGTTCCAGGTTTCCAGGCAACAATCGTTCCAGTTCCAGGTTTCCAGGCAACAATTGGTCGGGCTCCAGGTGCCCAATAAAATCTAAAACACAGCTACTCAGAAGCTTCTCTACAAAGTACGTGTGATCACGAGGGTTCGCCGAAAGGCCTAGAATCTAGTGTGGTCTCTGAGATAGCAATAGAGAATTCAGCAAGCTATAAAGTATATGTAGCCCCCAACGATGGGTTCTGTTAAGTGGGAGCTGAAAATAACAGTCCAGGGAGGAAGAGTCTAAGATAAACAGCCTGGGGAATTGGGGTGAGGTCTGCCGTATAGATGGTAAAAAGGTCATCAGGCCGTTAGCAATATCCAGTCCCGGCCTTCTGGGAGGAAACCAGGTAATCCCTCATTTGAGGAGAGGACCCTGCCTGTTTTAACATTCCTGATTTCCTGGTGCTCTGCGGGCACAAGGACCTCTGTGCCCCCAACAGGGAAGGTTGGTGACTAGGGTAAAATACACACATAAATAAAATGGCATCATGATACCCAATTATTATCTTTGAGAAATGTAAAAAAACACTCAGGAGTAACATTCTTGATGTCATGATATTCTCGATACTCTGATATTCGACAAGAGAAACTGTTTCTGATACGTTAAGTGAAAATGGCAAATTATAAAATGGTGCTAACCCAATTTTGGGAAAAAAGAGAAAATGTATCTCTGTGGAAGATAGAAAAATGAGAAGCGATTCTGTGAGAGTACAAGAAGGTGTTTCTACACACAGCAGTGCAGCCGCCACACTCGCTGTGCGAGCTTACACAAGTGCAAGCAGGCTCCCAGGCGGCTAACTGGGCTAATGGTTCGAAATCGAGCCCGACAGCCCCTTGCTCAATGTCACATATATTCTTTGCACATACTAAACTTTGTGACGTCCCTATAAGCCTCGATTTGCTGCTTGGAATCTGATCACTGTGAACCATTTTCTACAGTCCCACGCCAATGTCAACCCATCAGGAATGGGCACGGTTGCATCTCACATTTGTACAGGAGACAGATGGTAGGAACATCCTCTATTACAGCTTTTAAAACTGTAGTTCATGATCCCATATGGCATCACATAACTCAATGTTCAGGTCACAAAAAAGCGGCAATAGCAAAGCTCCGAACTTGCAACCAATCACTAAACATTCAGAAACTCAAACATGCAATGGACCCAAGGCGCTTGTGCTCAGCAGTGCTGCACGGTTCAGCTTCACTGCAGCCTTGGTTCTGAGCACACAATGTACACACACTGCACTCACCGTCACACCACAGTGCTGGCAAACGCTGCTGAAACACTTCGGCTTGGGTTCAAGACTCTTGTGTGTTAAGAAGTCCAATGGTTTTTCATATTTCTTTTACCACCCATACAAGTTTCTGTTCTTAGAGAAATATAATGGTTTAATAACAAAAGCCAACCTCTTAATATTTCCCTACCATCATTCCTCAGGATGTAAATATCAAAGTAGTGTTGCTTTGGGTTGTATTTTGTTAGCATGTCTGGTTAGAAAAGTTGTTGTTTGAATTTCTGACTTGAGTTTCATTAAAAAAAAATAGAACCATTGAGTGAATTTGATCTTGGGGTTGGGACAGTTTCCATAAGCTTCAGAGATAGCCCTAAACATACTCCTGTTATTTCGCGCTATATATTTATGTGAAATTGTGTTCCTCTGGCTTGATGCTTACAAAAATCAAACATTGATCAACTCGGAAAAATTCTGAAGATATTCTACATCTTGCAGTACCAAATATTCAGCCAAGATGCAGTCCTTCATGTAAACATAAACATTTTCATTTACCTCAGTATGCAGATTCCTTTCCTCTTTGACACGTGGTAAAATCATTTGCATATCGAAGAATTGTCTCAAAATAAGCCTCTTACAATTTACTATCGGTGACCGCTTGCTCTGTGCACCTCTTATCATGTGGGGTCACAGGAAAATTTCTTAGGCTTAAAGGTGTTGAGAGGGCTGAAGAGATGGTTCAGTGATGAACACTTGCTGCTCTTTTAGGGGACCCCAGTTTGGTCCCCGTGGAAGCATTGCAGCTAGGATAGAAAAGGATCCTGGCAGTCGGGGGCCAAGGAATATCATAAAGTCACTGTAAACACAGCAGCATACACCCCTGCTTCAGGGAAAGGTCTCCCCAATGTCACACCTCTGCTGCACTAGGGGAAGGGATTCCTCAGCAAACTTGGCACAGTTCTGCTGGGCTCTGCTCTGGCTCCTCCAGTGAAAGTTGTTAATTTTCTGCCCCAACTCTGGTGAAAGAAGGTTGTTGTACAAGCCTCATCCAAGAGATTGGGAAGGAGAAATCCAGAAGGGTGACAGTCTCTATCAGAGTAGAAAAAAAACAGCACCCAACTGATTTTCAGGATGGGAATTGGTCGAATTTCAATCCCTGAGTTTGGACAAACTCAGAGATTGGCTGGATTTCATGCTCAGGGATTGGCTGGTTTTTCTGCTCAGGGATTGGTTGCTTTTTTGTACTGAGTTGATCAAGGGCAGAGTGTGTCTCTTTGGCTCTGGTTTCGGGGCCAGGATGTGTTTCTTTCACTGGTCCTTTTTAACCTTCTGACTCTGGTTTCAGGACCAGGATGTATTTTGTTGACTTTGGTTTCCAGACCAAAGTGTGTTTCTTTGGCTCTGGTTTTAGGGTCAGAGTGTGTTTCTTTCATTGGCCCTTTTATTCTACACCCTTGTGAGTTGTTCATAATGGCCCATAACTCCAGCTCTGGAGGATTTGACACTCTCTTCTGGCCTCCACAGATCCCCGAATACACAAACACACAACACACATGCCATACTTAGTAAAAATAAAAATACATTAAAACAAAAATATTGAGAATAAAAAAAGTTTAAGAAGGCACATCCTAAAGGCAGGATAGCTCACACTTGTAATTTCAGCACTGGGGGGGGGGGGGCTGAGGTGAAAGGATTGCCATGAATTAAATGTCAACCTGGGCTACACGGTCAGTTCCAGGTTGGTCTGGGGTAAACAGTGAAACTCTGTCTCATGAAACCAAACCAAATCTCACAAAGCTTTGCTTTATCTGAGCTAGCCTTCCTCTTTGCTCCTACAAATGGCACATTTTTGCTCAGTACTGAAGGCTGTCTGCATTTCTCTGCTGCCGTACTGTACGTTTTATGGCTGTTTTTAAATAAAGGCTCCCTATGTCATACATTCTTTTCTGGTGAATTTTTGTTGACAGTTGCCGATTGCTGTTGGTTTCTGCTCTGGGCCTCATGGGAGGACACTAAGCCTGATGGTTGAAATCCGAGGGCTTGACCTGAGGTACAAGGAGCTGCTTCCAAAGCTGCTTACTCACCTAGCTGACTCCTGAGAGGTAAACAGTGGACTCCTTTCCGCTGGGTCTTTTTTTCCTTTTTGATTTTTCTAGACAGGGTTTCTCTATGTAGCCCTGGCCATTCTGGAACTTGCTCTATAAACCAGGCTGCCTTCAAACTCAGTTCTGCCTGCCTCTGCCTCCTGAGTGCTGGGATTAGAGGTGTGAGCCACAAGTGCCTGGCTGGCTTTCCATCTGGTTTCTTAAACAAGTAGAGTCCTAGTAAGGATGTGCCAGGCTGTGGGAGTGCTGGAATGAGGGTCGGCTTCTCTGATAAACAGACCTCTCTCCTTTACTCAAGCGGCTGACAGGGCAGACCTCACCAACAGAGTCCTCCAACTCCATGATTTTCATCTGGTGATTGATGAGTTACACGGTAGTACTGTCTGTCCTCCTGGAATAAGCCAACCACAGAGACAAACCTTTTATCCTCAGAGCTGACAAACACACATATAACCTCAAACCCTGAATCTTTCCATCTGCAATCTATTTATCCACCACGAAAAGTTCCAAGATCAAATCACCGTACTGAGACACCCACCTTCAAAGCTGGGGTCTTCCTCCCACTGTCAGAGCCCAAAGAAAATGACCTGAGAGAGAATCTGGCAGAAAGCCACCCTTTTATGACCTAGTCATGGAAGTCACATTGACATCACTTTCGCTGCATTCTGTTTGACGGGAATCGCTAGGCAGAGGGAACCTGGCACCTTCATATTTTGAAGAAAGGGATTGAGACATAATTTGAAACTGCCCGATGGCCTGCAGCTGTAACTCAGTTGGCAGGGGGCTTGCTGAGCATGCACCACATGAAGCAGACTCAGGGGCATGCCCGTAATTGCAGCATCCAGGATGCAGGGACAGGGGAATCAGGGGAGTCCAAAGTCAACCTCAGTCCCACATTGAGTTGTTGGAGGTCAACCTGGGCTACTCTCTCAAAGAATAAAAGGTAAAATCAATCAATCAAGGCACCCAGCGCATCAGGAAATAACAGGAAGATCAGACTGTGGATGTCCCTTCATTCTCCCGGCACGAGTACAGTTTTGTAGTCTTCAGTTTTTCCTTGCTTGGTGGAATTAAAAATAACACCGAGAGAGGTTCATCTCATTCAAACCGTGCTACGGCAGGTGCAATCTATTCGCTCTGTCTGCCTCCTCCTCCAAAGAGAGCCTACATAAATCCGTCCGGATAGGAAAGGGAATTTTAATCTTCACAGCTGTCTCCCTAGCGCCTGCCAACCTCTGCACAGAAGTCGGGACCATCAGACCTCCTTGGAAAGGCCTCAGTGATTTACCCTGTATGTTAAAAGGTGGCAGGGATTTGTATTTTCACTTCTATGAGATTCCAGGAAGGACGCTTCAAGCCCACAGTGATAATGAATATGTTGCGCCAAGATATTCACAACACTTATTTCCTTTCAGGACATGTTAAGAGAGGAGGAAAAAAATCGATTGAAAACAAATTTGCATTAGAGTTAAATGTTTAAGAAGTTCAATTATACCTCTTGTAAGACCTGCTGTCAATTCTTCCTCTGGGCTTTCAGTGGCTCCTGGACTTGTGGTTTACAAGGAAGATGCTTGACCCCAGGGAAAGCAATTAGCATTGCTTTCACAGGTCTGTGTTGGCTGCTCAAGGTCTGGGGAGGCTGGGAAGGATTGTAAAAGACTCACTGAAACAAAATCGATTTTCAGATATAATGTATGTATGCTCTCTGGACTTAGGTAACTTCTGAGTATCTTAGAGAGGAGAACAGAAGAACAAAAGAATCTAAAAAAGTGGTAACTGCTAAGGGCTTTCGCTCCTGCCATAGTTGAATCTCAGCCTCAAAACCAGAAAAAAAATAAATTGCAGTGGAGCAGAAATATTGCTAATTGCTGTCTCTTCTTGGGAGTCCTTCCATCCTGATCACTCCAGTCCTCCCAAGTGTAATGTGCATGTCCTGGTTCTGAGAGATTGCAAGGATGCGTCCAGATGGGCAATGAACTAAAGAATAAAGACATTTTAGCCCAGCCCCATTAATGACTGGCCACCAGGAAGCTGTCTGTGTCCATGGAATTAAATGTATAGTCTGACTGCAAGAATCTGGCATTCAATGGTCTCTGTTTAACAACCCCAGAAGAAAGATGATTCCTTCCCACCAGAGACTTGCCAGGTGAACGCCACAGAAATCCATTGTCTCCCGGCATAGAGTTTGGCAATCAACCAAATGAAGTTTCTGGGGCTTTTCCTAGTGGATGATCAAGAGATATTTTAGGGGGAAATAAACTAAATAAAAGACTGACCTTGTGATGGAGAGAGAAAGAAGGTCCAGGGAGTCAGAGATTCAGACTGAACCTCTTGTGGTTCTCTCTAGCATTTAGTGTGTGTGTGTGTGTGTGTGTGTGTGTGTGTGTGTGTGTGTGTGTG